AAAGAGCACCTGGCCCCCACCATCCGTGCCACAGTCTCCCAGTTCAACAGTGTGGCCAACTGTGTCATTGCCACTTGTCTTGGGGACAGGTCCCTGAAGCCACAGCAGAGGGCCAAGGTGGTGGAGCGGTGGATCGAAGTGGCTCGGGTAGGACAGCTCCCCTCCCACCTCCACCCAAAAGGGATGAGCTTTTGTCCTGCTGGAATACCAGCAGATCCTCCAGCTTTTTAGCTTTTTTTAACCCCAATCCTGTTATGTCCTTGTCTGCCCTCAGGAGTGCCGGATCCTGAAGAACTTCTCCTCCCTCAGAGCCATCCTCTCAGCCCTGCAGTGCAACGCTGTGCACCGGCTCAAGAAAACCTGGGATGAGGTCCTGAGGTAAGGAGCTCCTGCAGGGCTGCTTCCAAGGGGAATAATATGCTGTGGCACTTGGATGTGTCCATGGGATCACCTGAGCTCCAGCATTGCCTCCTGGAGTGTGCCCAAAACCCAGGGGCCAGTGTAAGGTGTCAGGGACCTAAGGAAGGTGAGGAAATAAAAGCACCTCACCCTTCCGTGTGAAACACCTTGGAATGCCTCCCAAACAGCAAGGCCCAGCTGGAGCTGAGCATGACTGGGGTCATTGGGGTGAGCAGAAGAGAGCCCAAGGAGGAAACCCCACCATGGCAGAATTGCTGACTTTTCCCCTTGTCCCCCCTGTGCAGGGAGAGCTTCCGCACATTCCATGAGCTCTCCGAGATCTTCTCCGACGAGAACAACCACTCGCTGAGCCGGGAGCTTCTCATCAAGGTAGGGGGAAGGAGGACCCTCATTGCCCTGTTCCTGACAGGCAGCTCAGCTTTCCATGGTGCTCCAGCCACAGGGATAAGGCCCTGGCAGAGCTGCTGGAGTCCCAGGCATGGGTGCAGGCAGGGTGTTCTGAGTCTGGGGAGCAGGCAGGGGTTTCAGACCAAGGCTGGAATTTCTGTTTCTCTGCCCAAAACTTACTACTTGGAGCTGGCAAATCAATTCAGGGAACAGATAAGCACTGGGATGGGATCCAGAACACCAGGTGACAGCTTGTCCCCAGAGGCAGCTGCATGTTAACAGTCCAGTGCAAAGTCCTCTTGATTCCAGGTGGGGTGGTGGAGATGGTGAAAGGCTGCAGCAAAAACGCCTTTATTCCATGTGGAGCTTCTCCACAGATCCCAGCCTAGCTCTGGTTTAGGGACTGAGAGGAAACAAAATGCAAAAGGGAACAAAACGTCCCGTTAGGGAGGCATTTATACTGAAATGAGAGCAGCAGTTCCTATCCACCAAGGCTTTCCTCTCTGTGAGCCATGAAAAAGCTTTGATTCCCTCCTCTTTCCTACAATGAAAGTTATATAAATGAAAATGGGTGTGAATTTTAGCTAATAGGTATTAGTGCCATTTCCCACCTGTGCTGATCCCTCCTCTCCCCACCATCCAGGAGGGCACATCCAAATTTGCCACCTTGGAGATCAACCCAAAGAGGGCTCAGAAGCGGCAGCAGCAGCAGCGAGAGATGGTGAGTGTGGCAGGGCTGTCCCTGTGCCCCTCCCCAGCAGCTGCCCAGGCTGCTCCCAGCTCTGCTGACCCCTCTGTCCCCACAGGGTGTGATGCAGGGCACCATTCCCTACCTTGGCACCTTCCTGACGGACCTGGTGATGCTGGACACGGCCATGAAGGATTTCCTGGATGTATGTACCTCCTCCCTGTCCTCCCTTTCCTCCCAGAGCCTGGGCTGATAAAAGGAAGGCTGTGTCCTGTATCCCACACTACATCCTGTATCCCACACTGCACATCCTGTATCCCACACCCCATATCCAACTCTGCCCATCCACCTCTCTCCCAAGGAAATGGGCTACTTTTTCTCAGCAGGGTTACTCACACTGCAGTGGCAGCAAGACAGAGATAGACGCGGGAGGGAGCAATATTCTTCTGCCTGCTCCATCCTGACCTTCATCTCTTTCTTTTCCAGGGTGGGCTGATCAACTTTGAGAAGAGAAGGAAGGTGAGAGCTTTGCCCTGGCAGCTGCACAGCAGGGCTGGTCTGCTGCAATCCCAGGCTCTGCCAGTCACTTTGGGCTTGATCCCTCTCCTTTATTCCTTTGTGTCCTTCACTTTTGGGAGAGGGAATTCTGGTCTCATGGTTTCCATTTGCTGCAGGAGTTTGAAGTCATCGCACAGATCAAGCTGCTCCAGTCAGCCTGCAACAACTACAGCTTCACACAGGAGGATCAGTTTGTGGAGTGGTTCCACAGCCTGGAGCGGCTCAGCGAGGCTGAGAGGTGAGTGAGAGGGAGGTCCCACCACTCATTTCCTCTGACAGCAGCAGCTGCCCCCTGCTCCCTTCTCTGCTCTGCCTCCCTCACACTTGGTGGCAGCACAGGGATCTCAAACCCTCCTCTCTCCCTTCTCAGCTATGGGCTGTCGTGTGAGATTGAGCCACTGTCAGAGTCAGCCAGCAACACGTTGAAGGCCAAGAAAAACACGGGCATCATCAAGAGATGGAGCGAGTGAGTCCCCGGTGGGAGGTGGGGGCCAGCGTGGGGCATCTCTGGCTGGACATTGCAGGGGACCAGGCAGGCATGGCCACTGTCCTGCCAGCCAAATGCACCCTCACCCTGCCCCCTTCTCACCTGCCCCACCTCTCTCCTGGCAGCCGGCAGCCACCAAGCACAGAGCCCTGTGCCAGCGGCAGCTCCCACTCGAAATCCTTTGACCAGCTCAAGTGTGGGCAGTACCTGTGCAGTGGGGATGCCACTGACTCAGTGAGTGTCACCTCTGCTGGCTCCAGCAGCTCTGACGTGGAGGAGATCAACATCAGCTTCATCCCTGAGTCCCCCGACTGCCAGGAGAAGAAGGTACGTGGCAGCTCGCAGGGTCCAGGGGTCCCAGGGCCGCTGTGGCCATGGTGTGGGGACTGTCCCACCTCTGCCCTGGCGCTGGGGCTGGGGGGAGCAGGCGGGGGGCCCGGGGGCTGCTCCGGCAGCACGGCAAGGCTCTGGTGCCTCCAGTGGCTGTAGCTGTGTCGGTCCCCCGTTGTCACAGGTCAGTGAGATCCCTCTGGCCTCCCTCCCCCAGCGCTGGTACGCCCCGTCTGTGGCCGATGGAGAAGCTAAACCCACTGTGTCCTCCGCATCCCCTCTCCTCCCTGCCCTCCAGTTCTGGGAATCCACCTCCCTCTCTTCCCTGGACACGTCAGGCATCGGCTCAGGCTCCAGCAGTGCCTCCTCCTCTTCCGTCTCCTCCACGCCGGTGACGGCCTCCCGCACTCACAAGCGCTCGGTCTCCGGCATCTCCAGCTACTCCTCACTCTCGCTGCCCCTCTACAACCAGCAGGTCGACGACTGTTGCATCATCCGAGTCAGCCTGGCTGTGGACAACGGCAACATGTACAAGAGCATCCTGGTTAGTAACATCCCCAGGGAGGGGTGGGTGGCTTGTGCTGGTTGGATATGGGCATGGCGCATTTTGGGAGGCTTTAGCAGTGTTCTGAGCTCACAGCACTCTGTGCTCACAGGTGACAAGCCAGGACAAGACCCCCGTGGTTATTCGCAAGGCCATGGCCAAACACAACCTGGATGGGGACCGGCCTGAAGACTATGAGCTTGTCCAGATCATCTCGGAGGAGAGAGGTGTGTGTGTGCTGGGGTGCGGGGACTTTCCTGGGCAGCACCAGGCTGGAGCTGGGATGAGAGGTGACAGCAAGAGGCATCCCAGCACCTGGGGACAAACCTTAGCCCCACTCTGGTCCCTTTTCAAGAAAGGCCACCTGACTGACGCTCATCCTTGTTCACTTCCAGAGCTGAAGATCCCCGACAATGCCAACGTCTTCTACGCCATGAACTCCGCTGCCAACTATGACTTTGTGCTCAAGAAGCGGGGTTTCTCCAAGGGGGTGAAAATCAAGCACGGCTCCAGCTCCACCCTGCCCAGGATGAAGCAGAAAGGCCTGAAGATCGCCAAGGGCATCTTCTAGCCTCAGCCCCACTGCCACCCATCACCGACGGGGCCTTGGGGGCAGCTGCTCCGGGCTTGGCTGTGGCCACTCCTTGTGCCACCCTGCAGGGCAGAGGAGTGACCCTCACCCACGGGCGACAGCCGTGCACCTCCTTCCGCACCCAGAGCTGAGAGTTGGGCAACTGGTGTCGGCCTCTGCCTCTCTCTGCACAAGCCCCCATTCCAATCAGGTCTTTTTTTCTACACAGGAAGGCAGCAGTGGGGGGATTTGTCTATTTTTTTGTTTTGTTTTGTTTTTTTAACCTTCCACGGTGCGACACTCGGCCAGCCCGGCCAGCCCAGAGCTGGAGCCCGCCTCTGCCGTAGGTGCCTTGTGTCTGAGCGAGCCGAGGAGCAGTGACTTGCAGAGGGGCTGTGTGACAAAGCAGAGCAGGAGCCACCATCACCCTGGAAGGGGCTGCCAAGCCTCCTTCCCAGCTTTCCCAGTGTTACCTCCACGTCTGTCCTCCCTGGGATCACTGGCGTTTCCACCACCGCTCAGCTCTGCCTGTCCTTGTCCTTCCCTTGGAGAAGCCACGGATGCCCTGGGCTGGGAGATGAGCTGGAAGGATGCAGCCCTGCACAGTGCTGAGCCCCGTGGAGGAGCCTGTGGCTGTGCCATGATGGAGTGGGTGCCTCGTGCTCTCCCCAGCTGGAAGCCTGAGTGGTCTCACTCCTCTCCCGATCCAGCACATCCTCCAGCTGGACTGGGCCAGTTCAAACTTGCACCAAAGATCAAATGCCAGTGTCTCTTCTGCCAAGGGGGAGCTTTGGGCCATGCCCCCAGCGCTGCCAGCCTGAGGAGGAGGAGAGCAAAGTTCTGTCTGAAGCTGTGTAAATAGAGACTTTGGGTCTGTGTGGGCACAGAGGGGCCAGAGAGCTCAGGTGCTCCAGGTGCCCCAGCTGCCACTGCCTGACCCACAGAAAGTGCCACTCACCTTGGGCTTTAACCGGACTTTTTCAAACACTGACCATGGGAGAAGCAGCAATGAGACTTTTTTTTTTTTTGTATAAAACAAAAAAGTTTACTGATTTTTTTTTTCAGTATTTATTGGTTGTAAATAGAAGAGGTAAACTTGTACATTTTACTAATCCAGCCTCCCCCTGCCCTGCAGCCCAGTCCCTGTCCTGTGCCCCCCTGGTATTTAAGGCTGCTGGGAGGGATGCTGGCAGCAGCAGCAGCAGCAGCATTGCTCTGCTGTGCTCATGGGGTGCAGACCCTGCCAGCCCCCCCCTCCCAAATTCTCTACCACTAATTGCTTGAGCAGGGGCAGAGATGCTTCTTTTAATCATTGTAGGAAACACTAACCAAAGGGGGACCTTTTGTTGCTCCTGCCTCCATCTCTGTTTTTTAAGCGCGTCATTCCAGCAGATCTTTTCTGTTTCCCATCCGTCAGTATTCCCAGGTGGTTGTGGTGCCTTTCCCTGCTCCAGGACAGGGACCACACTCCAGGGGCTGGGGCTGGTGAGGAAGAGGCTGCTTGGGTGTGAGAGTGGCTGGCACAGAGCTCCTCCAGCCCCGCGGCCCCTCAGGCAGCGCTGCCCATGATGCAGATGATGGGAGCTCCTGGCTCCCTGACGCAGGGGCAGCCTCCTGCCTCCCCCCTGCCCAAAGCCCCTGCCCCTGGGCACCAGCACCCCTGGGAGGGTGTTCCCTCTGCTCCGTGCCTGCCCACCCTGGGACTGTCCCCTCCCCTCCCGCTGGTGCCACCGGGGGGACTGGCTGTACCCTGTGTATTTTGTACCACTTCAATGAAGGAGCACACTGCCCGGTGTGACTTGTACACAGCAATGTAATTAGTCTTTGCAATAAAATACTGATGCTCAAACGTCTCTGCCCCAAGGCAGGGCTTGTCCTGTCCTCCTTCCTCAAAATGCCAGCACCTTCCTGGAGAAAGAGGGATGGGCCTGACTGTGGGGGAGTTCATACTTTCTGTTCACTCTGGGGGTTGAACTTTATTTTGACAAATTGGCGTTTTGGCTGAGGGGCCAGGGCTCAATTTTGAGAAAACCTCATTCCTTTGAACCTGTGATTTGAAACTGTTGCACTTGCAATTATAATTTGTTGGGTTTACCACTGTTGTTACAAGTAACAGCTTTAAAAGCAACTGTAACAGCCCAAAGGGCCTCCTCAGTGGAGGAGAGGAGGTCTTAACTCCTTTTAAAAAAGAAAGCTTGGCCTTCAGGTGTGCTCAGAACACACTGGGGAATGCACAAGATCTAGAAAACACCAGTAGCTCTTGAATTTTTTAGGGCTTTCTTTTGGTGGGAACAATTCAGCTGTAGCTCTTTAATTTTGGGGGTTTTCTTTGTGGTGGGAGCAATGCAGCTGGCAGTGGCCAACTTCTGTGCACCTGAAGCTCTGCCCCTCTGCCAGCTGCCTTCAGTCCTTGTTACCTGCTAGCTGGGGAAGTCAAAACAGACCTGAGAAGTGCATCAGGTAATGAGGACAACAAACACTACACCCCAGGAAGGGAATTATTCACTGCCAGAAAGTGTATTTTCCTGCTGGCTTTATTTCCAAGATGACCAGCACGGCTCAGTGCTGAAGGCATGGCTCAGTATTTTCACTCCCTCTGGACAAGCAGAAGGGCAGAACCTGCCTTAGGGACTCCAGGAGCACTGGACTGCTTCTTCTCCCAGCATCTCCTCAGGCACTTCTTTTATTTCCCACATGGCCACCAACCTGGAAAGAGTGCACTCCCACACACAGAGAGATTTGGGAATGCAGCTTCTCCCATGTTCTGGTGTGTTTCCAGCTGGTTTGGATTCTGGGCTCGCTCTTGGGAGTTTGTTGAGCCAGTTGCTTTGAGGCCAAGGCAGTGCCATTGGATAATCCCTCAGCCACTGCTGCCATTGCATGGTGGGCAGTGTGCATCAGGTGCAATGTGCATCTGCCCACAGGAAGGTGACTGCAAAAGCTCTCATTAATGTCCCTTTTCTGAAGGGCACAAGCAACACCTCAACACTCCTGGCAGTTGCTCCAGAGTCCTGCCAAGAGCCTGGGGAGCCCAGGGTGGCTGATGGCCCACATCATGGGCTTGGGGACTTACTGGGCAGGTGGGTGAGCTGCAGGTGGTAGGACAGAGTCAAGTCCTTGGGATCAGAGTGGCGCAGGCAGTTGGCCAAGACAGTGGTGTTGTCTGTGGGGCAGCGCACCTTTTCTCCAAACAATAACCGTTAAAATCAATACCACGGAAGGATACATGCGAGGCGCTGCAGTTTTCGCCCGTTGTGCTGCCGTGTATGGACCCGGTGGCGGCGGAAGCGGCGTGCCAGGGCAGAGGGATGGCGGCCGTGGCCGCGCAGCGGCTCGGGACCGGGACCGGGCTCTAATAAAGCGGCGGCGGGGGCGGCGGCGGCGGCGGGGGCGGCGGCGGCGGCGGGGGGGGGCGGCGGCGGCCGCGGCGGCGGGGGGGGGGGGGCGGGGGGCGGCGGCGGGGGGCGGCGGCGGCGGCGGCGGCGGCGGGGGGGGGCGGCGGCGGCCGCGGCGGCGGGGGGGGGGGGGGCGGGGGGCGGCGGGGGCGGCGGCGGGGGGCGGCGGCGGCGGCCGCGGCGGCGGGGGGGGGCGGCGGCGGCCGCGGCGGCGGGGGGGGGCGGCGGCGGCCGCGGCGGCGGCGGGGGGCGGCGGCCGCGGCGGCGGCGCGCCGTGCAAATTGAACTGCGCATGCGTGCGGCTGATCCCGGAAGTGGCGCTGTGGTTGGATGAGCCGGCGCGGAGTGATATCGCTGGGGCGGGGGGGTGCGGGGGGGCGGGGGCGGTTGTAGCAACTGTGCATGCGTGGGTGGTGTCACTAGGGAAGCCGTGATGGCGGCGGGGGGGCCGGGGGGGGTGCGGGAGGCGGCGGAGCTGCGGCAACGGGAGACGGGGCTGCGGCAACGGGAGACGGGGCTGCGGCCGCGGCAGGGAACGACGGGACGGCCGCGGTTGCAGGAGGCGGCGGAGCCGCGCCATCCAGCTGCTCTGAAGTGGGAGGCTGCGCTGGGGAAGGCGCGGCTCGGCCGGCCATGCAGCGGCAGCGGCAGGAGCGGCAAAGCGGCCACGGGCGGCGGCGGGGCGGCCTCGTCAGCGGGAGATGATCCCGGGTGGCGGGAGGAGCGGCGGGGAGGCGGCGGGAGGCTGCCGCGGAGGGGGCACGGCGGGCGGTGGGCCAGTCGGCGGCTGGAGCGCGGCGTGCAGCCGCTGGGAGCTGGGGTGGCGGCTGGCCCGGCGGGCAGGGGCGGCGGCAAGCACGGCAGAGGCAGCAGCCACCGGTGCAGACGCCGCGGCGCCGGCACGGGGCGGCTCGGCGGGCCGGGGCGCCCCGGTCCCAGCGCAAGCGGTGCCGTGCCGGGACCGGGGGATTGCGCCGAGACGCCGGCAGGGACTCGGTCTGCCGTGGGCGTCTGCGCTGCCGCGGGGGCCGTGGGCAGCTCCGGGTGCGCTGCAGGCGCTTGAACGCCAGGGTGGGGGGGCAGCAGCGCGCACAGGGGGCGCTGGGGACGCAGCGCGGCCACGCCAGGCGCGCTCGGCACCGCAGATCTGGGAGCCGCAGGGAACTGCAAAGACGCAGCAGCGACGGGACTTGGGCCGCCACCGGCGCCGTGTCGGCAAAGGGGGCGAGGGGAACTGGGGGGAGGCGGGAGGAGCGGCCGCACTCGCGGGTAGCAGGGAGAAAGCGGCCGCTCGGCAGGGGCAGCAGGGGGCGGGGCTGCGGTGACGCCGGTCGGCGGCTCGAAGGGGCGGGATTAAGGGGCGGGGCCGCGAGCTTGGCGAAACCGGGGGCGGGAACCACGGCAGCCGGGACAGCAGGGACCAACGGGATGGGTGGGGCAACTGCTGCGGGCATCCCCCTTGCGGCAAAGAGCTCAACCAGCGCCCTGAGAGCTGGGATCGGCTCCACGGCAGCCAAATCCCGGCGGGAGATACTAATAAAGAGTCTAATTCCCACTGTGTCCCAAGCGTCTCTTTACGACAGTGACGCTGTAATGCACCTTTTACGACAGTCGCACTTTACGGCACCTTTTACGACAGTTTTGCTTTACGGCACCTTTTACGACAGTTTTGCTTTACGGCACCTTTTACGACACTTCTTCTTTACGGCACTTTTACGACAGTCGCACTTTACGGCACCTTTTACGACAGTCGCACTTTACGGCACTTTTACGACAGTCGCACTTTACGGCACCTTTTACGACAGTCGCACTTTACGGCACTTTTACGACAGTCGCACTTTACGGCACCTTTTACGACAGTTTTGCTTTACGGCACCTTTTACGACACTCGCACTTTACGGCACCTTTTGCGACAGTCGCACTTTACGGCACTTTTACGACAGTCGCACTTTACGGCACCTTTTACGACAGTTTTGCTTTACGGCACCTTTTACGACAGTCGCACTTTACGGCACCTTTTACGACAGTCGAACTTTACGGCACCTTTTACGACAGTCGCACTTTACGGCACCTTTTACGACAGTCGCACTTTACGGCACCTTTTACGACAGTTTTGCTTTACGGCACCTTTTACGACAGTTTTGCTTTACGGCACCTTTTACGACAGTTTTGCTTTACGGCACTTTTACGACAGTCGCACTTTACGGCACCTTTTACGGCAGTCGCACTTTACGGCACCTTTTACGACAGTCGCACTTTACGGCACTTTTACGACAGTCGCACTTTACGGCACCTTTTACGACAGTCGCACTTTACGGCACCTTTTACGACAGTTTTGCTTTACGGCACCTTTTACGACACTCGCACTTTACGGCACCTTTTGCGACAGTCGCACTTTACGGCACTTTTACGACAGTCGCACTTTACGGCACCTTTTACGACAGTTTTGCTTTACGGCACCTTTTTACGACAGTCGCACTTTACGGCACCTTTTACGACAGTTTTGCTTTACGGCACCTTTTACGGCAGTCGCACTTTACGGCACCTTTTACGACAGTTTTGCTTTACGGCACTTTTACGACAGTCGCACTTTACGGCACCTTTTACGACAGTCGCACTTTACGGCACCTTTTACGACAGTCGCACTTTACGGCACTTTTACGACAGTCGCACTTTACGGCACCTTTTACGACAGTCGCACTTTACGGCACCTTTTACGACAGTTTTGCTTTACGGCAGCTTTTACGACAGTTTTGCTTTACGGCACCTTTTACGACAGTCGCACTTTACGGCACCTTTTACGACAGTTTTGCTTTACGGCACCTTTTACGGCAGTCGCACTTTACGGCACCTTTTACGACAGTTTTGCTTTACGGCAGTTTTTACGACAGTTTTGCTTTACGGCACTTTTACGACAGTTTTGCTTTACGGCACCTTTTACGACAGTCGCACTTTACGGCACCTTTTACGACAGTTTTGCTTTACGGCACTTTTACGACAGTCGCACTTTACGGCACCTTTTACGACAGTTTTGCTTTACGGCACTTTTACGACTCTTGGGACACAGTGGGAATTAGACTCTTTATTAGTATCTCCCGCCGGGATTTGGCTGCCGTGGAGCCGATCCCAGCTCTCAGGGCGCTGGTTGAGCTCTTTGCCGCAAGGGGGATGCCCGCAGCAGTTGCCCCACCCATCCCGTTGGTCCCTGCTGTCCCGGCTGCCGTGGTTCCCGCCCCCGGTTTCGCCAAGCTCGCGGCCCCCGCCCCTTAATCCCGCCCCTTCGAGCCGCCGACTGGCGTCACCGCAGCCCCGCCCCCTGCTGCCCCTGCCGAGCGGCCGCTTTCTCCCTGCTACCCGCGAGTGCGGCCGCTCCTCCCGCCTCCCCCCAGTTCCCCTCGCCCCCTTTGCCGACACGGCGCCGGTGGCGGCCCAAGTCCCGTCGCTGCTGCGTCTTTGCAGTTCCCTGCGGCTCCCAGATCTGCGGTGCCGAGCGCGCCTGGCGTGGCCGCGCTGCGTCCCCAGCGCCCCCTGTGCGCGCTGCTGCCCCCCCACCCTGGCGTTCAAGCGCCTGCAGCGCACCCGGAGCTGCCCACGGCCCCCGCGGCAGCGCAGACGCCCACGGCAGACCGAGTCCCTGCCGGCGTCTCGGCGCAATCCCCCGGTCCCGGCACGGCACCGCTTGCGCTGGGACCGGGGCGCCCCGGCCCGCCGAGCCGCCCCGTGCCGGCGCCGCGGCGTCTGCACCGGTGGCTGCTGCCTCTGCCGTGCTTGCCGCCGCCCCTGCCCGCCGGGCCAGCCGCCACCCCCAGCTCCCAGCGGCTGCACGCCGCGCTCCAGCCGCCGACTGGCCCACCGCCCGCCGTGCCCCCTCCGCGGCAGCCTCCCGCCGCCTCCCCGCCGCTCCTCCCGCCACCCGGGATCATCTCCCGCTGACGAGGCCGCCCCGCCGCCGCCCGTGGCCGCTTTGCCGCTCCTGCCGCTGCCGCTGCATGGCCGGCCGAGCCGCGCCTTCCCCAGCGCAGCCTCCCACTTCAGAGCAGCTGGATGGCGCGGCTCCGCCGCCTCCTGCAACCGCGGCCGTCCCGTCGTTCCCTGCCGCGGCCGCAGCCCCGTCTCCCGTTGCCGCAGCTCCGCCGCCTCCCGCACCCCCCCCGGGCCCCCCCGCCGCCATCACGGCTTCCCTAGTGACACCACCCACGCATGCACAGTTGCTACAACCGCCCCCGCCCCCCCCCCCCCCCGCACCCCCCCGCCCCAGCGATATCACTCCGCGCCGGCTCATCCAACCACAGCGCCACTTCCGGGATCAGCCGCACGCATGCGCAGTTCAATTTGCACGGCGCGCCGCCGCCGCGGCCGCCGCCCCCGCCGCCGCCGCGGCCGCCGCCCCCCGCCGCCGCCGCGGCCGCCGCCCCCGCCGCCGCCGCGGCCGCCGCCCCCCGCCGCCGCGGCCGCCGCGGCCGCCGCCGCCCCCCCCGCCGCCGCGGCCGCCGCCGCCCCCCCCCCGCCGCCGCGGCCGCCGCCACGGCCGCCGCGGCCGCCGCGGCCGCCGCCGCCGCCGCCCCCCGCCGCCGCCGCCCCCCGCCGCCCCCGCCGCCGCTTTATTAGAGCCCGGTCCCGGTCCCGAGCCGCTGCGCGGCCACGGCCGCCATCCCTCTGCCCTGGCACGCCGCTTCCGCCGCCACCGGGTCCATACACGGCACCACAGCGGGCGAAAACTGCAGCCTTGTATCCTTCCGCGGTATTGTTTTTAAGGGTTATTGTTTTTAAGGGTTAACCCTCTGTTAACGTGGGTCCTTTTTCGGGCTCGTGCTGGCCAGAAAAAGGTACCCGAACGTCCGTAACTCTTTGTGTTTGTTGTCTCATATTGTCCTAATTCAAATTGTCCAAATTATTATTACTCTAATTGTATGACTATTTTTATAACCCTTTTATTACTATTAAACTATTAAATTTTTAAAAACAAGTGATTGGCGTTTTTCACGGGGAGGGTGGAATATGACAGCTGCTTTAATAAATACAGGACAGACAGCGAATTATTTTGCCCCTGCAAATGCCAACCCTTTGATCCCAACACAAAAGAATTTCGAAAAAGAACTGTTCCCAAACAGCTCCAGAGTCCCCCCAGTGTTTGGGACAGATTTCTCGACCCAAAATGAGACACTAAACCCTGGACATTCACCAGCATTAATCCCAAAATTAGAAAACTCACAAAAATCTTTTGATAATTTTCAGCTAACAGACTGGGATGAAGTCAGAGGCCAGATTTGCAAAGAAGAAAGTCGAAATCCTCCGGTGAACCTTCCCTATCCCTCCTCTCCCCTTTCCTGTCAGCCACAAGCAGCACCCACTCCTCCTGCCAGCCCCCTGTCCCCCCTGCAGCAGCCCCATGCCTGGTGCAGCCCAATCCATGAGTGGTTGGAGGTGTTTCCATCCAGGCCAGGTGCCTGGAGTAGGGCAGAGCCCTGCCTGTTGGAGCCCTGGTGCTGCAGCTCTGGCAGCCTCGGCTTCCCTGGTGCTGTCACTTCCCGGGCCCAGCAGTCGCTCAGATTCCCGTGGGTTACCGTGGGCTGTATTTATAGTTTGCTGGGCTAAAAATAAAAGCCCCAAGTATTGGGTTCCCTGATTCCAGCCTCATGGAATAAGGGATGCCCAGGAGCCCCCAGGAGGGGTCTGGTGGGGGATGTTGCCTGGGGCTGTGATGCCTTGGGGGCTGCTCCCATGGAGGGTTGATAAAAGTTTATTTTTTGGAGATGATGGAGCTGCTGCATCACTGCCTGCTCTTGCTCAGCACAGAGCCTCGTGCAGGACTCTCATCCCACTAAAAATACTTCCTCTGTCTCATCAGGCTCAGTCTAGCAGAGCCTGTGAGTGGAGGGGATGGAGGCATCCGTGCTCCTGGCTGTGGCTATCAGACGGCACGTGAGGAAACCCCGCACAGCCCAGCTCTGAGAAAATGTGCTGCCAGATCCCTCTGAAAAAACTCTCTATGTGCAGCATTGGTTTGTGCTGCTGCTGAGCCCCCTGTGTGTGTGCCCAGCAAACATTCCTGCCTGCTCCTGACTGGTTTCCAAGCCAGGTCCCTTTGCAGCTCCCACCATGCCGGACACAAGAGCTGGGCACTGCAGGGCAGTGTTCCAGAGGGAGGATGTGCAGGAGAAACGGGCCTGAACGTGAGGGGTCCAATGCATCCCCTCTGAGGAGAGACCTTCACCCACTCCTGGTGCCAGGGGAAGCCAAAGTAAGTAATTTCTCAATTGTTTTCTTAACCTGGGGCTTTGTGAACAGAACTGAGCTCCAAGTTAGTATGGGGGAGCGGAATCTTGTCTGTCCCTCTGGCTCTGTCCCAGTCCCACCACGCCACCAGCATGGAGCAGCTTTCAGAGCCGATGGGCTCCAGCATCTTCCCCCTCCTGTCTCCGTGGCTCACCTGCAACAAAAAAACAAAACAACCAAGATCCCGGCGTGGCACTGCCTTGCAGGGCTGCATCTGAGCGCTTTCCCCGCACAAAACCTTGCAGCTTTAACCAAAAGCAAAGCAGGAATATCTGCTGCCAGACTGGCTGTACCCTGGCTATTCTGTACCACTTCAATGAAGGAGCACACTGCCCGGTGTGACTTGTACACAGCAATGTAATTAGTCTTTGCAATAAAATACTGATCCTCAAACGTCTCTGCCCCAAGGAAGGGCTTGTCCTGTCCTCCTCCCTCAAAATGCCAGCACCTTCCTGGAGAAAGAGGGATGGGCCTGACTGTGGGGGAGTTCATACTTTCTGTTCACTCTGGGGATTGAACTTTACTTTGACAAATTGGCGTTTTGGCTGAGGGGCCAGGGCTCAATTTTGAAAAAACCTCATTCCTTTGAACCTGTGATTTGAAACTGTTGCACTTGCAATTATAATTTGTTGGGTTTACCACTGTTGTTACAAGTAACAGCTTTAAAAGCAACTGTAACAGCCCAAAGGGCCTCCTCAGTGGAGGAGAGGAGGTCTTAACTCCTTTTAAAAAAGAAAGCTTGGCGTTCAGGTGTGCTCAGAACACACTGGGGAATGCACAAGATCTAGAAAACGCCAGTAGCTCTTGAATTTTTTGGGGCTTTCTTTTGGTGGGAGCAATGCAGCTGGCAGTGGCCAACTTCTGTGCACCTGAAGCTCTGCCCCTCTGCCAGCTGCCTTCAGTCCTTGTTACCTGCTAGCTGGGGAAGTCAAAACAGACCTGAGAAGTGCATCAGGTAATGAAGACAACAAACACTACACCCCAGGAAGGGAATTATTCACTGCCAGAAAGTGTATTTTCCTGCTGGCTTTATTTCCAAGATGACCAGCAAGGCTCAGTGCTGAAGGCATGGCTCAGTATTTTCACTCCCTCTGGACAAGCAGAAGGGCAGAACCTGCCTTAGGGACTCCAGGAGCACTGGACTGCTTCTTCTCCCAGCATCTCCTCAGGCACTTCTTTTATTTCCCACATGGCCACCAACCTGGAAAGAGTGCACTCCCACACACAGAGAGATTTGGGAATGCAGCTTCTCCCATGTTCTGGTGTGTTTCCAGCTGGTTTGGATTCTGGGCTCGCTCTTGGGCGTTTGTTGAGCTTGCTGGAGGGTTTCTCAGCCAGCAATTCTGAAAATGCAGCAGTGGCTCCCAAACACCCAGAATGCGGCCTTCCAGCAGTGAGTGCAGAGAACATCATCAGCTTAGTACAAGCTCTGCCTTCCCAGATCCTGATGCTGAACCCTTGACTCTCAAGGAGCAAGAGCAGAGACAGTTCTGTCCACAGCAGCCACACTGCTTACTGAGTTCACACATAGTCCAGAATTTCTGTCTCCATTTCATTTTCACTCCCATCAGAAGGCTTGAAGTCCTCTTCCTCCTCCTCTTCATCATCCTCATCCTCTCCAGACTCATATGCCAGCTGCTCTTTGCCATCTTCACTACTTGTTGTATTTGAGAAAAGAGCTTAAATTGGGAAGAAAGAAAGACACTGTTATGCCTCTCTCAGTGCAACCTGGGGGCATTTGCAATTGAGTTCACAGAACCTGTGAGAGGAAGGCAGCAGCCTCAGGGGCACAGCTAATATTGCTCATCTTAACAGGAGCTGATCAAGGCCAGAGCAATCCAACTCCACACTCCAGAAAGGAGAGCAGAACAGCAACAGAGCTGCAGTGCTGTACCTCCTCTCCTGTGTCATTCTGACCCAATTCACTGGGATATTATTGCTTTGGCCCAGCATCATCAAGAAATAATTTTCTCACTTCTTGGTCAATCAATAATATCAATAAAAAGTAAAATGCCACCAACAGATACATCAGTCAGAATTAAGATCTTGTTTATCACTGTGCAAAAGACATTTAAAAGCTGAAGGGCTTTTGATACTGGGAAGATGAAATAGAAAACCTTAACTCCCAGCCATCCCTAATGCCAGCCCACATTCCCACTGCAGGCCAGCAGCCTCAGCTCCCACACTGGAATGAGCCACATCCCAAAGAACACAGAGGATGCAGAGCACTTCTGCCTCAGTGCCAAGCACAACATCCTCATGTTCAGAGCATCCTTACCAGGTCTGGTGGATCTGATGATCTGTTTTATCATCAGGGACATGCTGTCCCTGAGGTCATCACTTGTCTTGGCAAGGCACCACCCGTCCCGCTCTGTGCATTCCGACTCGGTGCCGTCATTCCGATGGATGATCTTCTGCAGGCTAAAGAGAGCAAAAGGGAAGGAAACCTTAATCTTCTGCACTCAGGTGTGAGTTTCAAATGAGACACACTGCTTTACTGCCATTTCCTTTCACTGAGCTGGAATAGCACAGTTGGTTATCCAGGGTAATTGTGAGATGGGAAAGGAAGTTCATGTGTGAAAAAAACTTTTCTGTTTTTATTGAGCAACTGAACACCTCTGATGTTCCTGCTCAGGGGGAGAGGGGTGAATGGACAGGGTATAAACAACAGGTTTTGAAATCTGTCTGTAAGACTCAGCTGTCAAGAGTGCAGTACCTTTCCACATTTAAGTCACACAGCTGGTAGAACATCTGGCGGTAAGGGGGCAAGGCTCCTTCTCGGAAAATGTAGACAGATTCCTAAGAGGAGGAAAGAAGGAAAGGATTCATGTGCATTTTATGCTGTAATAAAAATACTTCCAATGGGCTGATTCAACAACATGGCTCTTCCATGAGAAACAAGTTATAAGGCATAGATCTGTATGTGGCAGAAGATAAAAGCTGAATGAGGAAAGCCCTAAAATGTCCCTACAGTCACATCAGCACTGCTGTGCAGAGAACACACTTCACCTCTCCAGCCTGCAGCCCTTCTGCAGCCTGTCACTGCCTAGCAGTGCATCATGGGCTTCACTCTAGCAAAAAGAAGGAATAGTAAGACTCATTTATTTATTTATTCCACCCTGTTGGATTTTGCAGCATGGCCTCATAAAGACATGGTGATTTTTTTGCACTTCGCTGCCCATGAAGTTCCAATTTTATCAAATGAAGCAAAATACTCCTCACATCTATGATGAGGGTGGAGAGCAGCAATCCCACCATGCAGCATGTAACAAAATACACTCAGGTGGTGTTCCATAGTGCCATATCCAACTGGGAGCTTCCCAGGCAAACCTGAGCACATCAAATCACTCACAGCTGATCCCTCTGATGACTGATAAGCCAGGAATCATCCCTATTTCACTGAGAGATTTCAGTGAAATAGGGATATTTCTGTACCAAGATTTTGGTATAGAAAGTCATGCTTACCTTCAGCTTATACCTGCTGGAGGGGGGCTTTTTCGCCCCAGATGTACCAGCTGAACCCAGCCCCTGTTTCAGGTCATGGACACTGACTGTGTGACTTCCTGCAAGGAAAACAAAGAGTCCTAATGAGGGACATCTTTCATAATGGACTGTCACTTCTCTCTGTTGATTCAACAAAACCAGACCAACCAGAGCATGTGCTTTGTTCATTCTTTAGAGATGTTACTGGACAGTCCCAGGAAAAGTGCTGACTTGGGCAGCTTTTTCCAGAGCCCATTTCTTCATAATTTTAACCTTTTCTACTCTCCTTTGACATAGAAAAGAGAACTCCCCCATTCTCTGCACCTCAGTGAATTCTGAATTCCCAGTGTGGCTTGCAGAACCCCCTCCTGCCTGCTAACAGATATTGTGGCTCAGCCAGACTCTCACAACACTTCCCAGCAGATTTTTCTCTGGCTTAACAGCAGCAATATTATAACCAGAACACAAGCTCCAGTTCTGGCTCAGCTAGAACACAGGAAGACCCTTCACCACCTGTGACTGGGATGGAGCAAACAGAGAAGCAGAAGAGCCAGGCAGCCCTTCTGGCCCATACCTTGTTTCTTGACAGTGATGGGCAAGCTGTAGTTGTACGTGCTGCGTTTTGCTTTCACAGGCATGTCAGTAGCAGCATAACCTAGAGGTGAAAACCAAAATCCAGTCATGAACTGAGGGCAAGCACTCTGCAGAATATCCCCAGCTCAGGAACACAAGGGCTGGACTGGTGTGGGAAGGGCAGGCTGGTCTTTGGGATATGCTGGTTTTAGCAGGGTGGGGAAAAGAGATCAACAAAACCCTTTAACTTGGAAATGTGATCTGATGTCAGTGAGTGGATGCCAGCTCTGTCATGGACTTAGTAGATGGCACCAGAAACTCCTTTTCCTCAACTTGTCCTTTGCAAAATCAAAACAGGGAACCCCAAATCCAAGGTCTGAGACCAGCATCCTGCAGGAAATGCTGAGGTCCTTGAGGAAAAGCTGCTATGTGAGCACCAGAATTCCTGCTTGGTGCCTCCCCTGAGTGAGGAGGAGGATGCTCTGCTACACCCACTTGGCTGTGGAACACATGGAATTGTTTAGAATGTGCCAAATGAGGAAAGTGCCATTGCCTATGAAAGAAAGTATTACAGGAGTTTTAAAAAGAACTACAGTAAGCAAGGAGTGCAAAAGGTGACATGTTCATCAGAGCAGAAATATGGCAAAAGAGTTTGAAAAACACATAAAAAGAAAAATACTACCAGGATTAACCAGAAAGCAGAGAGAGCAGCTCTGTGGGTTGGGCCCTTTTACCATATTTCATTCCACAGCGAATTCGGAAGTCCAGCACTTGATAAATCTTTGCTTCGGGGTGTTTCCTGGGGTCATACCCAAACCTCACCCACAAGCTTCTCCAAGGACCTGTTAACTGCACAAACACATGAGGGAACATGGTTACAAAAAAGCACCACAGTGTTACAACTTCATTCAGTAGCAAGGTCCTTGGAAAGTTCTAATATTTTTCCTTCACTGCCCAAAGATACTGGTTTTACCAGCTCTTTGCTCACTTGCCATGCTAATATTTATACACTGAAATATATTTGTACACTTGGCAATCAAAGCACAAATATTTGTATGCTTCTACAAACCAACCTGCAAGGTCACAGCCAAGTACTTGTGTGGAAAAGCTTTGCTACCACTGCCAGGTGAACAGTCACTTGGAGTGACCAAAGTTTTTCTGATTTTCTAAAGCTCCCAGTAATGACTGTTTTGTTGTTTTGAGCTCCTGAGAATCTCTTGTTGGTATTTCTTCAGTGAGTCCAACTCAGAGTACACAAACAATTGTAATTGCTCACAAAAGTACCACTCACCATGTAATAGGCCAAATAAGGCAGCAGCACCTTCAGCTTGTCTGGATGGACACTGATGTTGGCTTTGACTGCATTGCGAGACCACACGGGACGCACCTCAAAGAGCTGCAAGGACAGACAGACAGCCACACATCAGTGGGAAGGGGGTCCCAAAGAGCTGCAAGGACACACAGACAGCCACACATCAGTGGCAAGGGGGTCCCAAAGAGCTGCAAGGACACACAGACAGCCACACATCAGTGGCAAGGGGGTCCCAAAGAGCTGCAAGGACACACAGACAGCCACACATCAGTGGCAAGGGGGTCCCAAAGAGCTGCAAGGACACACAGACAGCCACACATCAGTGGCAAGGGGGTCCCAAAGAGCTGCAAGGACACACAGACAGCCACACATCAGTGGCAAGGGGGTCCCAAAGGCAGAGCAGCTTTCCAAGTGCACTCAGGTCCATATCAGAGCCTTTGGCCCTCAATAGGAGCTGTTGGATGGTGATGTCAGAACTCGTAGGGCTTAATGAGAGTTAAGCCACAGATTCAAAGCTTGTCTTGCAGAACTGAAATGAACACAGCAGTGTCAGCAGCAGCTACTCACACTTGGGTCAGTTGCTCACAATCACCAAGAATTTCTAGGGAAAAAAAAAATCTACTTTTTCCTCCCTGGGACAGTGCTGAGACCAGGATAAGGCACACACCTTTCTCAGCTCTTCCTCCACCTTTTTATCCACAGGATTGGTGCACACTTTCTTCCAGTTCTGTACAGCAGCATCCAGGGGCTTAGTTGGGATTTCCTCATCATCAAAGTTGACAAAGATGGCATTGTGTGGGCGCCGGGCCCTGCTGAGGCCAATCAGGTTCTCACCAGACACCTGGGGATTGTTGTATCCCTCCCTAAGGAACAGGGAAAGACAAAAGAGACTCAGCTGGGTGAGCAATGGGTTGGTTTAACTTTGGCCCAACCTCTCTTGATCACACACTGGTACTATAAAAGACTCTCATGGCACCACTGAAGAAAGAAAATTTAAATTTAAATAAATCCCAAAACTTCTAAACTACAAATGTTTGCACACTGACAGAGGAGCTCTGCCCTGGCTGGCAGAAAAGCCCCCAGCACTCGGGAATGATCTGTATGAAATGTGTTTTGGAAAGGCTTCTCCCTCTGCATTTGTTCTCCTGGAGCTACTGCAGCTACTCACTGGGACAGGGGCAAAGCAAGAGGACCTGCAGGTACCAACTCCATCTGGAAATTCCTTTTCCTTTAAAAAGAACCAGTGGAGGCCAACAGTGAGAAAATGAAAGCTGTTTCTTGTGGGAGATCTCCCAGATTGTTCTTCTGGCAAAGCCATTCGAGGTCAGGAGAGCACAGGAACACATGGCATCGATCCTTGGAAACTCTGCCCTTGGCTCCAGCCCTCTGGAAGCAGGCAGGAGCTGTGTCCTGCATCCCATAATGTGTGAGGTGAGCTGGGAGAGGCATCATCTTCACCTCAAGCCCAGCTCCCCTCACCTGGCAAATCCTCAAGTGGAATTTTGCTGAGGTTGCCACTGCCATGCAGCTTCTCATGGTTTTTTGCCTCTGTTGTGCCAAATCAAGAGGGATGAAACAGCACAAGGCAGCAAATTAAAAGGGTGAAACACATGAAAGATGTATCATGAGAAAAGGCACTGACCTGTGCTGTATATCTGGGCGATAAAAATAGTCCACAGGAGTGTCCAGACGTGAGAAAATAGGTGGTGGGATGTAAAGAGGTAAATCTTTATTGAAAAACTCTTCCTTCTCTGGTTTGAGCATCAGGACTTTGTCATACATGGAGGTTTGTTTGCCATCAGGGCCAGAGTGCATTGCCAGGTACTGGAAGTCAGACATTCCTGTGAGAAACAAAAGTTAAAAAAATGTGAAGTTTGTGTGAATCCAACAATATCTCTCACACTCAACTTTCAGGAGCAGGAGTCTGACAAGTTTATGCAAAGGTTTATCCAGCAAGGAGGCTGTAACAACACTTGATTTTCCTTCCAGTCCTCAGCTGCTTAGGAGGAAACACTTCCCTTTCCCATCAAACACACTCATCCCTAAGCCACCTGCACACAATCCCAAGGGTTACCTTGAAATTTGTAAACAGTGGTGACAATCCCAAGAATCTCCATCTCAAACTGCACTTCTGGCTGGATTTGTTCCTCAGGGTCCAACTGCTGCTTCTTCTTGCTCCTCCTGGTGACCCTGAGCAGCATGGTGGAGGTGGGGAAGCGGTTGGCACACACGGGGTGGCAGTAGGGGTCCTTGGGGCGGAAATACAGCTCCAGCCTTTTGGCAGGGTCAGCGTAGATCTGTCAGCAAGGGGGGCACAGCCCCTGTCAGCATGTCACCCACACAGCCCTGTGCTCCTGTGCCAGCCCCCAGCCCCACACGCCGCTGTGGGTACTGGCTGTGCCCCTCACACAGCCCCAGGGGGATCATCCCTGCCCCACATCGCACTCACATCCTGGGTATCAGGAAAAATCAATTAAAAATATTATATCCTGGATATGAGGAAGGAATTCTTCTCTGTGAGGGTGGGGAGTCTCTGGCACAGGCTGCTCAGAGAAGCTGTGGCTGCTCCATCCCTAGAAGGACAGGTAGGAGCAAGCTGGTCTAAAGGATGGTGTCCCTGCCCACAGCAAGAGGGTGGAATTGAATGAACTTTATGGAACCTTTCAACCCAAACCATTCTACGATTCCATTATTTTACTGCACACCGCCTGAATCCCTGCTCGGGGACAGCAGGGAAGAGGCATCTTCCACCACCCCCACACCACCCATGGGCCCCGCGTGGGGACACGCTGGGCTAGAACGACTCACACAGAGGGTCCCACGCGGAGGCTCGCCCCAGCCCCAGCCCCAGCCCCGGCCTCCTCCCGCCCCATTCCCTTGCCCAGGGCCGGTCTCACCGCCCCTCACCCTCAGCCCAGCGAGCCTGCACATCCCCCGGCCCCCCTCACCCGCGACACCCCCTGCTCTCCTCCCAGCGTCCGCAGCATGGCCCCGACGTCCCGGACGAGCCCCGGGTACTCCACGCAGACCAAGCGCGGCTTGCGGGGCAGCTCCAGCACGGCCGAGCCCCGCGGGCCCCGCTGCCGCGCCGCCGCCATCGCTGCGCGCCGCTCCCTCCCGGCGCCGCCCCGCGCACCGCGGCGCGAAGGTTCCGCCGCACCACGGTTCCGAGGGCGGCCGGGCCGGGCCTGAGGGGAGGGCGAGGCCTGAGGGCGGCCTGAGCTCGTCCTGTCCTGCTGGGGCTCCTCAGCCCGGCTTGTGAGCGTAAACAAATACAGAATCACCTCCCCCGTGGGTTGTTTTGTCCCGATGCTGCTTGGACAATCCTGAGGTGAGCAAATGCTCGCACTTACCCCTACATTTCTCTGATCGTGCAAGGAGTGTGGTGTTAATTCTCATTGAAATGAGGTTTTGCTCCCTAAGAATGTCACCTTTCATCTCAGCAATGTTTAATGCCACAAAAGGTGGCAGATGAAGGATATGAAGGTGAGGGTGAGAATGTAATTTGCTGCAAGGACAGCTTGGTCAGGACTGACTGTCACAGCCAGAGGAACACACGCTGCCCTCAGGATGTTCCATCCTGCCTGACCTTGACATTACCAAGAAAACTCTGTCACAGCCAACACAGAGACACAGCAAACAGAGAAACAGAGACTCTCAGCTACAAGCAATCCTTTATTGATCTCTAAAAGGTGTTTTTTTCTTAGCTTCAGAACATTAACTCCGACTGGGAGATGTTGGCAACCTGCGGCAGCTTCAGATAGACCGAGTTCCAGAAGGTCACAAAGCGGGACCTCAGGTCCTGCTTCACAGAGTTCTTGGTCATCTTGTGGTTGATATCCAGGTAGTACTTGCTCTTGTCAGTGTAGGCTGGCCAGGAAACAGGCACGTCTGAATGGCCATTGTTGGGATCACTGGGGAAAAAAGAAAACAGAGATGCTCAGTTTTGAAGTTTTTGGCAGGAATCCTGTCTGCTCAAGTCAGGCTTTAAGTGAGAGGAAAAGAGAGAATCTGACAGTGAGACAAGCCATAGGAATTCTCCCTGCCGGGAATGAGTGCATGACCTGCAGTCTCCTCCCTCCATCCCCACTGGTATCATCCCAGCTTCACAAAGGGACTTAACTTGTATCAACATCAGGATTCAGGAATACAAAATACAGACATGGAACACTCTGATTTTGGGAATGATCCTGAAAACTTCCTGGACAAAACCAGCAGCCTGAAGGGCTGCATCAAGCCCCAAACATGGAATGGGAATCACTCACCCACTCCTGGCAAAGTTGGTCCAGTAAGCAATAATGGCCTTTGAGAGAGTCCTGTGCTTGGGCCGGTAGCCCAGAGGGGTGGCAAAGGGCTTCCCAAACACATACTGCAGGTCATCCATATGATCTGCCCCAACCCAGCGAGGGTAGATGGGCATGCGGGATGGCTCGGAGAACACGTAGCTGTAGGTCTTGCCACTCCTGGGAAATCAAAGAGACTGGCTGGGCAAGGAGAAAGCAGAAAAAGGGCTGCAAATCCCAACCAACACTCCAAATACCATCAAGGCCACAGATTCAGCCTTGGAAGATGCTCACATGCATCACCTCACATGGGGTGGTTTCAGGAGAAAACATCCTGAGGCCATTTTTAACTTCCATTTCCAATTCTCACCCTAACCCTCCTCCATGTGCAACACCCCCAGGGCTGAGCTGCTCACTTGGCATTCTGCAGGTGCAGGTTCAGTGCCACCTGTGTGGGAATCAGGAAGATGTAGTCAGTGATCAGATCCACCACTGTCTTCTTCACAACCTCCTGCTCGGGTTTGTCACCCCAGCTCTGTGTGTAGATGTTGTAGGTGGCGTTGGCTCCAGCCTCGCCCCTGTCCACGGTGAGGCCTTTGATCAAGTTGTACACCTGGTCACTGAAAAGACAAATGATATTAATTAATTACTGACCAGCAGCTTGAGGTAGGGCAGGGCTCTTGCCTGGTCCTTTCTCTTGAAGGCTCTGGACTCGGCAACAAAAGGCCTGGGCACCCAGGCTTGGAGTGACATTCTGTGTGGAATGTTGTGCCCTGTCCACTCAAGTCTGACTCCTTGGGGTTTGGGAGCTACTCTGAAGAGCAGATGTCTCCTGCTGAGGGTTCTAAGGGCTCTGTCACTCACGCAGTGACCTTCACCAGCGGGCGGTTGATGGCGGGTACATCCACGCCGGCAAAGATGTGCCCATCCATGTTGTTGACCCCAGCCAGGTAATCGATGTCAGCAGCGTTGGCAAAGAGCTTCTCTGGCATCTCTGGGAGGAAATCCCCATCCACAACTGGAGCGAGGGCAACGGTGTGCACCATGGGCACTGCAGGAGACAAGAGCAGAGTCTGAGAGTCTGTAAGGTGGTGAGGAAACACAGATGTGTGGTCTGGCATATGCCATGACTCAAAGAGCTCAGGAAAGAACAGGCTCAGGTGAATGACAGCTTGAGCAGTGACTTCAGCGTGGGCAGGAGGTCACCCACATACAGGGTAAGCCTCATGACTATGGCTGAAGGAGAAGAGCAAGAGATGTGCCAGCCAAATACCATCTGGTAACATCCACAAATCCTCTCCTACAAATTCCTTCCCAAAAAGCACAGCCAAAGATAGGAAAGAGCTGAACTTCTCATCCCACCTGGCCATGCTGTCTGATTGCCAGGACAGCCAGCCCCAGAGTGTGCAGTTGCATAGCAGTGTTTTGGCCACTCTCTGTTCTGACCGAGGCTAAACGCTGTGGTTTGTGACCAGCAGCACCAGGAGAATCTTCTTGGGAAAGGAATCCCCCTAGCACAAAAGCAGCAGCGTTCCTGCACTCCACCCAGCGACTCAAATAGAAATAGCAGGGTATGATCTTTTTGTTTGCTTGTTTGTTTACTCACTGTTTTCTGGGATTGCTCTTGCTGCTTTCACAGAACAGCAAGCCCAAACAGTTGCTTTGAGGCCAAGGCAGTGCCATTGGATAATCCCTCAGCCACTACTGCCATTGCATGGTGGGCAGTGTGCATCTGGTGCAATGTGCATCTGCCCACAGAAAGGGGACTGCAAGAGCTCTCATTAATGTCCCTTTTCTGAAGGGCACAAGCAACATCTCAACACTCCTGGCAGTTGCTCCAGAGTCCTGCCAAGAGCCTGGGGAGCCCAGGGTGGCTGATGGCCCACATCATGGGCTTGGGGACTTACTGGGCAGGTGGGTGAGCTGCAGGTGGTAGGACAGAGTCAAGTCCTTGGGATCAGAGTGGCGCAGGCAGTTGGCCAAGACAGTGGTGTTGTCTGTGGAGCAGCCCACCTTTTCTCCAAGCTGTGGCAGAAGAGAGAGAGAAACATCCTGGTGTTAGCTCCCAAAGCCAGGGGTTGTTGTTAAGACTCAGAGCTGTGGGTTTGTTTTAATCTCAAAGCAGCAATTTTCCACAGCTCTGTTGGGTACAGGTCTGGTCCAATCCCTTCCTAGCCCTGCTCTCCTCTAGGGAAAAATTTTTAAGTTTCTACAGTGCTTCAGACATGATTTGCAAATTACCTTTTTGGCCCAGACAAGTGGATCCCTCTGGATGGCCCAGCTGCACAGCCCAACACCACTCTGGCTGATGGCTCTCTTGAACAGGCCCTTGTTCTTTGGGGACAGCGTCTGGGGAGCAAAACGGAAACAAGAGGGGTTTGGGTACAAAGTCCTGAGGAGACCACGGCCTGCCAAACCATGGCTTTGCAGGATGTGCACCTGTCCCGGGGAATCTTCAAGGCCTTGTGGTGTTCAACAGTCTCAGGAGCTAAAGTTAAAAAGTGAGATATTGAGAAGAGGAGCAGAGGAGGGGGACATGGAAAGTAAAGGCTGTTTCCCCACATGTCCCAAAAGCAAGAACACCTGGCTGCACTGGTGGGACTGATGAAGCTGAAGAAGGAGGAGCAGCTACAAAGCACTGAGGCTGAGCATTGCTGTGCTGGCCAGGGCAGGACATTAATGAGGCAGCAGTGGGGAGGAAAGCAGATGAGTGCCAAGGGGTCCCTGTCTCCCACTGGCAGAGCAGGGGCTCTGATCAGAAACAATGAGGAGAATCCACCTGCAGGGAGACACTGGCAGCACCGGCCGATTCCCCAAAGATGGTGATGTTGTCTGGGTCACCCCCAAAGGCCTTGATGTTCCTCTTCACCCAGGCAATGGCCATGTGCTGGTCCTTCAGGCCGTAGTTCCCTGAGGGACAGAGATCACCCGGCAGTGAGCAGGGGCACAGCCAAGCTGTCAAAGTGGGCACCCGGGACAGGGTGCCAGGGAGGGATCGGCCCGGGTACCTGGCAGGTTTTCGTCCCCGGTGCTCAGGAAGCCCAGCGGCCCCACGCGGTAGTTGATGGTCACCACAATGACGTTGCCCCGCACGGCAATCTCCTCCCCATCGTACAGGTAGTTGTCCAGGAAATTGGCTCCCTGGCCGCCTCCAACCAGGAAGGCACCGCCGTAGATATAAATCATCACAGGCATCTTGGTAGAGACTGGGAGGAGAGGAACAGGGGCAGAGTGAGCCCCCACTGAGCTGGGAGGTGCTGCCCCTCCATCCCTCATCCCCTCCCTGAGCACTGCTCCACCTGCCCTGGGCAGGAGCTGACTTGATTCTCTGCAAGAAAATCCTTGCTCTCCTCAGGAGGCTGACCCTCCCACCAGGGTGAAGGTGAGTTAGGACATTGTCTGACACAGTTCCCACCTTTCCCCCTGAAAATCACTGCTCAGCACCTGCCCACTATGGAACAGAACTGCTGAGAGAGGCTGCAGCACAATCTGTGCACACAAGGCAGCTGGGAAAGTCCATTGCACATCCCTGCCAAGCTCGTACCCTGTTTTCTCCCTTGAGGGACCCAGATGTTCAGGTAGAGACAGTCCTCACTCCCACGGACATCAGTCTGTGTCAGCTTCACCTGCATGCAGCGTTTTTTGAATTCCTTTGCCTTCAGAGTTCCTGAAAGGAAAGAGGGCTGACCAGTTAAGTGCATCAGCTCCATTCTCTGGTTGGAAGTTGCCTGCTCACCCATCCTTTCCTCTCTGAGTACGGTGCAATGGCAGCAAAGCCTCCCCAGCCACTGTGCCTGGTATGAGGGAGTGACAAACTGGGAGACCTTCCCTTTTGAACCAGCTCTGGACAGCCAAAGCATGGGGAAGGCAGGTGCAGGTACCATGCCTGAGTTTTGTTACTTCCTGGTGTTACTTGAGTTTCTTGGGAACATTTAGACACAGACTCTCAGACCCTTCAGGAGACAAAGAGATTTTTCTTGGCCGTGCTTAGTCGATGAAAGCAGGCAAGAACATCTTTAGCTTGAGGAAAACCAACTAAAAGAAAGAGAAGCAAGGATAAAGCCCCAAACCAAAGGCATTCAGAAGTTGGACCTTACCATCCCAGCCAGGATGAGGTTGGGGGTCTTCCAGAGTCTTTGGAGGAGCAGCAAAGGGGATCCCTCTGAAGATGTCAACATAGTTCCCAAGGAGTCCCAGTTTCTTGTTCTCTCCTTCCACAAATCCTCCCTCAGTGAGCACCACACCCAGCTACAGGAGGCACCGTGGAGAAGAGAAAATCCATTGCTCTGTCCTTCATAACTCTGGCTTCCCACATTGCCACACATTCCCATCCCAGCCTCCCCATCCGTGCCCTTGGTCCCTCATGGAAAGCCCCCTGGTGCCACTGGAGCTGTGCCTGTGCAGGTGTCCTGCAGGTGCCCTTGGGAGCAGAGAGGCAGCAGCAATTCCCCCACAGCCCCAAAGACAAATGGCAGGAGCAGAAAACCTTCAGCTTTAGGGTGCAGAGCCAGCCTTTGTACTTACTGTGGCAGCCCAGGCTACCCCGAGGTAGGAGCACAGGGCCAAGACCAGGATGTGCCAGTGAGCCATGGTGAGAGCAGCCCTGAGGGGAAAGTCCCAGCTGGAGGGCTGTGTTTATAAAGGCACCCGTGCAGGTGTGTGTGCCAATGCCATGGGCCAGGATTGGCTCTGGGCTGAAGCAGGGCAGCCTCCACAGCCTTGTGCTTCAGTAGTCTGAGGCCAGTCTATGGCTGTTGGGCATGGCTGTGTGAGAGGCCCACAGATGCTGCTTGTTTAGGCTGGAGGCCAAACCAAAGTCCAAGAAAATTCCAAGAAAATTCTTCAGTCCAAGAAAATTTCAGAGAAATTAAATCCAATGGAGTCTTGACAAGCCAAATCCAAGCACAGGGGGCTGATAAAGTATTGAGCTGTGCAGTAGAACATAATATCAGCAACCTTCGTAACACACTGGGGAATGTAAAAGATTCAAATGACAGCAAGTGTTAAAGCTGATTCCATCCAACAGCAGCCAGATTGCTCATCGAGTTCACAGAGTCCAGAATTTCTGTCTCCATTTCATTGCCACATCTATCAGAAAGCTTGAAGTTTCCTTCTTCCTCATATCTCTGCAGGCTCATGGCAGCAGCTCTTTGTCATCTTCACTCCTTGTTGTGTTTGTCAGAGAGAGAGGGGAATGGACAGATACAAAAAATAGTTTTGAAATTTGTCTCTAACAGAAAACTCATCTGTCAGTGTGCAATATCTTTCCACATTTAGTCCCAGAGCTGGTAGAACATCTGCTGATAAGAGAAGCAAAGAAGGAAAGGATTCCTGTGCATTTTATGGTGAAATGAGAGTCTTCTCTCAGAACATGCAAAAATGGAGTTTGTGTTCCAGATTTCTAAAAAGGGACTCAGCCAGGTGAGCAATGGGTTGGTTTAACTTTGGCCCAACCTCTCTTGATCACACACTGGTACTATAAAAGACTCTCATGGCACCACTGAAGAAAGAAAATTTTAAAAAATCCATTCAAAGCTACATGCACTTGCACACTGACAGAGGAGCTCTGCCCTGGCTGGCAGGAAACCCTCCAGCACTCAGGAATGATCTGTATGAAATCTGTGTTGGAAGGGCTTCTCCCTCTGCATTTGTTCTCCTGGAGCTACTGCAGCTACTCACTGGGACAGGGGCAAAGCAAGAGGGACCTGCAGGTACCCACTCCATCTGGAAATTCCTTTTCCTTTAAAAAGAACCAGTGGAGGCCAACAGTGAGAAAATGAAAGCTGTTTCTTGTGGGAGATCTCCCAGATTGTTCTTCTGGCAAAGCCATTCGAGGTCAGGAGAGCACAGAACACATGGCATCGATCCTTGGAAACTCTGCCCTTGGCTCCAGCCCTCTGGAAGCAGGCAGGAGGATGGTTCTAGTGCAGGGGCTCCCTGACTCTGGCTCTCCCCAGGGATGGGCTCCCCATCCTCCAGCCTCTCTGCATGGAGAACCTCAACACACACACCAGGGTCCCATCCCCTGTGACACCCCCTGCTCTCCTCCCAGCATCCACAGCCCCGATGTCCCACACCAGCCCTGGGTTCTCCACACCAGCCAGGCCTGTGGGGCAGCTCCAGCATGGCTGGCGCCCCCTGCTCTCCCCACAGGGTACCAGGGCCTGGACAGACCAGGCCCAGTGTATGGTGTGTGGATGGGGACATGTGGTGGACAAGGTTTGTGGAAAGTTGTGCTCCTTGTCCTGCCCTGCTCAGAGCTGCAGCTCCTCAACCCAATCCAGCCCAACCTCTGCCCCAAAACCAGTGGGGAATCAACACCCCCATGGATTTATTCTGCCCCATCAGTTCCTGAGCAATGTCAGAGCATGATGAACAGTCAGGACTGGTTTGCATTTGCCTGTTGCAGCTGTAGCTCTCTATGATCTGGTTGGAAGTAGCAGGAACTTTGATGGTAACACAGGGAAATCCAGAGGACAGGTCAGGATTGGGGCTGTCCTGCCTGGGCTCACAGGGGCAATGAGGAAAAAACAATCCCAGGGCCAACAGCTGGCTGAGCAGGTAGAGACTGGACCCCAGCTGCCAGCAGCTTCCCTGGGACATCGGGGTGTCACAGCCAGGGGAACACACACTGCCCACACAATGGATGTCCTTTCCTGCCTGACCTTAATACTGGCAAGAAAATCCTGTCATGGCAAACAAAATGAGAACCAGAGTCACTCAGTTACAAGCCTTTAATGAACTATCTTTAAAGGGTTCAGAACATTAACTCCGACTGGGAGATGTTGGCAACCTGCGGCAGCTTCAGATAGACCGAGTTCCAGAAGGTCACAAAGCGGGACCTCAGGTCCTGCTTCACAGAGTTCTTGGTCATCTTGTGGTTGATATCCAGGTAGTACTTGCTCTTGTCGGTGTAGGCTGGCCAGGAAACAGGCACGTCTGAATGGCCATTGTTGGGATCACTGGGGATAAAGCAGATACAGAAGCTCAGTTTTATCAGGGCATCTTGAGGATGCAGCTTAATGTGTGACCATGCAGAGTGTTTGACACTGGCACAAGCAATAGGAATTCTGCCTGCCAGGAGTGAGTTGATGACCTGCAGTCTCCTCCCTCCATCCCCACTGGCATCATCCCAGCTTCACACGGGACCTATGTCCTGCCTGAACACAAGGATTCAGGAGTAAACCTCATCAAGTGGAAGCAGAGATCATAAGTAATGAAAATGCCTCTGTCTTCCCCAAGTGTGCTATGGATGAGGAGAATGCAGAGTAAACTCCAGCCCTGTGAGACACAGAGCCTTGCTCACAACACAAAGAAAGAGAACTTCTGGGAATGATCCTGAAAAGTTACTGGGCAAAGGCAGAAGCCTGAAGTGCTGCATCAAACCACAGATCACTCACCCAGTTCTAGCAAAGTTGGTCCAGTAAGCAATAATGGCCTTTGAGAGAGTCCTGTGCTTAGGCCAGTAGCCCAGAGGGGTGGCAAAGGGCTTCCCAAACACGTACTGCAGGTCATCAGCATGGTCTGCCCCAACCCAGCGAGGGTAGATGGGCATGCGGGATGGCTCGGAGAACACGTAGCTGTAGGTCTTGCCACTCCTGGGAAATCAAAGAGACTGGCTGGGCAAGGAGAAAGCACAAAAAGGGCTGCAAATCCCAACCAACACTCCAAATACTGTCAAGGCCACAGATTCAGCCTTGGAAGATGCTCACATGCATCACCTCACATGGGGTGGTTTCAGGAGAAAACACCCTGAGGCCATTTTTAACTTCCATTTCCAATTCTCACCCTAACCCTCCTCCATGTGCAACACCCCCAGGGCTGAGCTGCTCACTTGGCATTCTGCAGGTGCAGGTTCAGTGCCACCTGTGTGGGAATCAGGAAGATGTAGTCAGTGATCAGATCCACCACTGTCTTCTTCACGACCTCCTGCTCGGGTTTGTCACCCCAGCTCTGCGTGTAGATGTTGTAGGTGGCGTTGGCTCCAGCCTCGCCCCTGTCCACGGTGAGGCCTTTGATCAAGTTGTACACCTGGTCACTGAAAAGACAAATGATATTAATTAATTACTGACCAGCAGCTTGAGGTAGGGCAGGGCTCTTGCCTGGCCCTTTCTCTTGAAGGGTCTGGACTCGGCAACAAAAGGCCTGGGCACCCCGGCTTGGAGTGACATTCTGTGTGGAATGTTGTGCCCTGTCCACTCAAGTCTGACTCCTTGGGGTTTGGGAGCTACTCTGAAGAGCAGATGTCTCCTGCTGAGGGTTCTAAGGGCTCTGTCACTCACGCAGTGACCTTCACCAGCGGGCGGTTGATGGCGGGTACATCCACGCCGGCAAACATGTGCCCATCCATGTTGTTGACCCCAGCCAGGTAATCGATGTCAGCAGCGTTGGCAAAGAGCTTCTCTGGCATGTCTGGGAGGAAATCCCCATCCACAACTGGAGAAAAGGCAAGGGTGTGCACCAGGGGCACTGCAGGAGACAAGAGCAGAATCTGTAAGGTGGTGAGGAAACACAGATGTGTGGTCTGGCATATCCCAAGAAAAGGCTGAGGTAGGCGGTGTGCATCAGGTGCAATGTGCATCTGCCCACAGGAAGGTGACTGCAAGAGCTCTCATTAATGTCCCTTTCTGAAGGGCACAAGCAACACCTCAACACTCCTGGCAGTTGACCCCGTGTCCTGCAGGAGGTTTGGAGAGCCCAGGGTGGCTGATGGACCAGAGCACAGGGCGGGGCACTTACTGGGCAGGTGGGTGAGCTGCAGGTGGTAGGCCAGGGTCAAGGCTTTGGGGTCAGAGATACGCAGGCAGTTGGCCAAGACAGTGGTGTTATCTGTGGAGCAGCCCACCTTTTCTCCAAGCTGTGGCAGAAGAGAGAGAGAGAAACGTCCTAGCATTACTTCCAAAGCCAGGAGTCATTTTTAGGTAGTCAGATATGTGGGTTAGTTTTAATCTCAATCTCAAAGCAGCAACTTTCCACAGCGCTATTGGGCACAGGTCCTGCCCAATTGCTTCCTAGCCCTGCTCTCCTCTAGGGAATTGATTTCTTTCTTTTAACAGTCCTTCAGGCATGATTTGCACGTTACCTTTTTGGCCCAGACAAGTGGATCCCTCTGGATGGCCCAGCTGCACAGCCCAACACCGCTCTGGCTGATGGCTCTCTTGAACAGGCCCTTGTTCTTTGGGGACAGCGTCTGGGGAGCAAAATGGAAACAAGAGGGGTTTGGGTACAAACTTCTGAGGAGACCACAGCCTGCCAGACCCCACTGATAATGCCTGGTGGTGTGGGGTTCAACAGTCTCAGGAGTTAACGTTTGAAGGTGAGATGCTGAGAAGGGGCACATGGAAAGTAAAGGCTGTCTCCCCACATGTCCCAAAAGCAAGAACACCTGGCTGCACTGGTGGGACTGATGAAGCTGAAGAAGGAGGAGCAGCTACAAAGCACTGAGGCTGAGCATTGCTGTGCTGGCCAGGGCAGGACATTAATGAGGCAGCAGTGGGGAGGAAAGCAGATGAGTGCCAAGGGGTCCCTCTCTCCCACTGGCAGAGCAGGGGCTCTGATCAGAAACAATGAGGAGAATCCACCTGCAGGGAGACACTGGCAGCACCGGCCGATTCCCCAAAGATGGTGATGTTGTCTGGGTCACCCCCAAAGGCCTTGATGTTCCTCTTCACCCAGGCAATGGCCATGTGCTGGTCCTTCAGGCCGTAGTTCCCTGAGGGACAGAGATCACCCGGCAGTGAGCAGGGGCACAGCCAAGCTGTCAAAGTGGGCACCCGGGACAGGGTGCCAGGGAGGGATCGGCCCGGGTACCTGGCAGGTTTTCGTCCCCGGTGCTCAGGAAGCCCAGCGGCCCCACGCGGTAGTTGATGGTCACCACAATGACGTTGCCCCGCACGGCAATCTCCTCCCCATCGTACAGGTAGTTGTCCAGGAAATTGGCTCCCTGGCCGCCTCCAACCAGGAAGGCACCGCCGTAGATATAAATCATCACAGGCATCTTGGTAGAGACTGGGAGGAGAGGAACAGAGACAGAGTGAGCCCCCACTGAGCTGGGAGGTGCTGCCCCTCCATCCCTCATCCCCTCCCTGAGCACTGCTCCACCTGCCCTGGGCAGGAGCTGACTTGATGCTCTGCAAGAAAATCCTTGCTCTCCTCAGGAGGCTGACCCTCCCACCAGGGTGAAGGTGAGTTAGGACATTGTCTGACACAGTTCCCACTTTTCCCCCTGAAAATCACTGCTCAGCACCTGCCCACTATGGAACAGAGCTGCTGAGAGAGGCTGCAGCACAATCTGTGCACACAAGGCAGCTGGGAAAGTCCATCGCACATCCCTGCCAAGCTCGTACCCTGTTTTCTCCCTTGAGGGACCCAGATGTTCAGGTAGAGACAGTCCTCACTCCCACGGACATCAGTCTGTGTCAGCTTCACCTGCATGCAGCGTTTTTTGAATTCCTTTGCTTCCAGTGTTCCTAAGAGGGGAAAGGGAAGACAGCAAGTCCTGGTTAAGGGCATCAGCTCCATTCTCTGGTTGGAAGTTGTCTGCTCACCCATCCTTTCCTCTCTGAGTACAGTGCAATGGCAGCAAAGCCTCCCCAGCCATTGTGACCAGTCTGAGTAATATGTTGTACCATTTCCCATATGTGCCAGATTGAGGAGAGAGAAGTGAAAATAAAGCCCCAAACCAAAGGCATTCAGAAGTTGGACCTTACCATCCCAGCCAGGATGAGGTTGGGGGTCTTCCAGAGTTCTTGGAGGAGCAGCAAAGGGGATCCCTCTGAAGATGTCAACATAGTTCCCAAGGAGTCCCAGTTTCTTGTTCTCTCCTTCCACAAATCCTCCCTCAGTGTGCACCACGCCCAGCTACAGGAGGCACCATGGAGAAGAGAAAATCCATTGCTCTGTCCTTCATAACTCTGGCTTCCCACATTGCCACACATTCCCATCCCAGCCTCCCCATCCATGCCCTTGGTCCCTCATGGAAAGCCCCCGGGGCCACTGGAGCTGTGCCTGTGCAGGTGTCCTGCAGGTGCCCTTGGGAGCAGAGAGGCAGCAGCAATTCCCCCACAGCCCCAAAGACAAATGGCAGGAGCAGAAAACCTTCAGCTTTAGGGTGCAGAGCCAGCCTTTGTACTTACTGTGGCAGCCCAGGCTACCCCAAGGTAGGAGCACAGGGCCAAGACCAGGATGTGCCAGTGAGCCATGGTGAGAGCAGCCCTGAGGGGAAAGTCCCAGCTGGAGGGCTGTGTTTATAAAGGCACCTGTGCAGGTGTGTGTGCCAATGCCATGGGCCAGGATTGGCTCTGGGCTGAAGCAGGGCAGCCTCCACAGCCTTGTGCTTCAATAATCTGAGGCCAGTCTATGGCTGTTGGGCATGGCCGTGTGAGAGGCCCACAGCTGCTGCTTGTTTGGGCTGGAGGCCAACCTCCTCAGGTATCTTTGATTTTCCACATGGCCACCATCCCGGTCAGACTATACTTTCCACACTCAGAGAGATTTGGGAATGAAACTTCTCTGTTATTTTTCCTCTCTGGTGTTTTACTAGCTCATTTGGATGCTTTCCTCTCTCTTGGGAACTTTTTTGAGCTTCCTAGAGGATTCATTTGCCAGTTATTATGAAAATGTAGACACCCATTTATCCATAGCAATGGTGAACACTTTTTTCCAGGTCTGGACATCAGCATCCAGTGGTTTAGTTGAGATTTCTTCATGACAAAGATGGCATTGTGTGGGTGACAGGTCCTGCTGAGGCCAATCAGGCTCTCCCCCAAAACAGGGAATTGTTATATCCCTCTCTAAGAAACAGGGAAAGGACCAGGTTTGCACTCTGCCTGTGGCTCACAGAGACATGGGGCTGTCACTGGAACATGTGAAAATGAAGTTTGTGCTCCAGATTCCAGAAGAGAAGGGACTCAGCTGAGTGACCAGTGTTTTCATTTAGTTTTGGCCCAACTTCTCCATCAAGGGGCAATGCAAGAGGAGAAAGCCATTAAGATTTCTTTTTTTCTTTAAAGAGTGCAGACGAAGGCCAACAGTGAGAAAATGAAAGATGTTTCTTGTGGGAGATCTCCCAGATTGTCCTTCTGGCAAAGCAAATCAGGGTCAGGTGTGCACAGGAACACAGGGCATTGATTCCTGGTAGAAAGCCAGGTTTGCTCCATCCCAGGATGTGGATGTGCTGGGAGGGGCAGTGCTGTTCACCACATCCTCAGGTCCCTCACCTCAAGTGGACTTTTGCTGGAGTGGCACTGCCAGGCAGTTTCTCCCTGTGCCTCCTCTGTTGTTCCTTAAAGGGATAAAGCAGAACAAGGCAGCAGCTTCAGCAGTTGGAGGTCTCCAGCCCATCTCCCCCCTGTTCCTGAGCTCTCCCTTTCCCACGGGGATCCAGCATGTGGGACATCTCTGGCACAGCTGAACCCTCTGTCCCCCACCACTGTGGGGTCTTTGAGTCAGGGGTGGTGGCACATCTGTGTGTCTGTGTTCCAGCTGCTGCTCTTCCTCCTGCTCATCCCAGCAAGGAGAGAACTGTTGGGTTCCTTCTGTGAGAGCTCTAGCATGGTGTAGAAACAGAACCAGCCCCAAATACCTAGGAGACAGTCTCCACCATAAAGGAGGAGACAAAACCATAAGCCTGGCTTAGAAGTTGTGATTAATGATAAAAGAACTGTTTTCAGCCTGCAGGGTGCAGCAGTAGCACATTTTAATGGAAACAGAGAATAGCAGTTTGGAAGGGATCTCAAGGATCACCTGATCCAAACCTCCCTTGGCAAAGCCCGGTCTAGTTAAGACAGCCCAGCACTCTGTCCAGCTGATCTGAGAAGTGTCCAGTGTTGGAGAGTCCACCACTTCCCTGGGGAGGTTATTCCAAAGACTGATTGCTCTCACTGTGAAAATTTGTCCTCTAGTACCCAATTGTATCTGCCCAGGAGTCACTCGTACACATTACCCCTCATTTTTTCCATGTGACACCTCCTAAAGGGAGTCTCCATCTTCTCTGTAGCCACACTTTAAACATTTGAACTTGGTGATTTCTCCCCTTTTCAGGTGGGCTGACACTGCAGTTCTAGAGCTCACCTGAGTATCGTCAGAGCTGAGGGGGGACTCCCAGAGCTGTGAAAGCAGGTGGCAGCACAGCACAGGGAAATGCTTTAAAAGGAGCCACCCCTGGCACTCTTTACATGATTTACACGGCAACAGCAGCCCGGGTGAGTTCGAGGGGAAAGCCTCGGGGTTGTGCCATGGTTTCTTCTGTTTTATTTCCTAGGGAAGAGCAGCAGTGCAAGTATGTACCCCAAAACCCTCTGGGAACAGTCTGTTCATCCCATATGTGTCCACGGTTCCTGAGCTCCCCTTCCTTCTGTGCTTGCTTTTTGTGTTGCATTAATTCCAGAGGAAGGCTGCATCTCTCTCACAGAGCCTGGAGGACTCACTGGCCTGAGGGATTCCTCAGATGTGGCATGGGCTCTATAAATTCCAAACACTTATTTTCCCTAAGATTTCATGGTATTCTTGGAAGTCTGGGCTTTGGGTAGAGTGGAATACCTTTAGAGGAAATATTACATCTCCTAGCTGAGGTCTGGCTGGAGTTTCTTTTTTACATTTTTTACTTTTTTTACTTTTTATTCTATAGGGCTGATACATTGATCCTGTGTTTCACCTCAAGCAGGAAACAAAACATTTATGGAAAAGGGCTATGATATAAAAATATGATGAAGTGGCCAAAGCTGTCAGAAGTTAAAGCATTACTTCCAACTGCCCTCTGCTAATGACTTCCATCCTTTTTTCCAGGAACAGTGGCATTCAAAGTGCCTGGCAAGGGGCTTTGAGATTATTGGAAGTCTTGGTTATAGAGAGAGAAACTCCTCCTGGAAATAGCTTTCTATGGGGAGCTCTGTTCCAGTGTAAACCAGAATGGACTGTTCAGTTCTCATCTATACCAGTTCAAATCCCTATCAGCCCTGTGCAATGCCCAGATAGTAGAGGGTAGAATATGCTTCATTTCCTTCCACATTGTGTTCTCTTACTCTTAGCAATGTTCCACAGCATTAAGTATCCAAACTACAACACTTTTTTTCATGTTATTATTGCTTCCCTCCAAAAAAACCCCTTGTCTTTATTGGGCATTTTCATCCTTGGCTCTTGTAACTTCACCAACTTTTATCTCCCTCCTTCGAGCCGCAGCTTTTCCCCACTCATCTTTGTAATCTGACATTGTGATTTGTTCACTTGTGTGCTTGTTTTTCTCCTCAAAGAAGATTTGCTGAATCATTGGGGAGGAGGCAAGAGCTGTAGAAGCAGCTGGTGGCCAGTGATAAAACCAGGGCCACATCCAGCCTTGAGGGTTTGCAAGTGACAGCCCTTCAGCTGAAGGCCTGAGTCACATTCCCTTCTGAGCTAAGATTGCTGGGCACTTGGGGATTGAGGAAGAGAGGATGAGGAGGTGGCACCCCCGAAGCAGAAATTATTGTTCCTGCTGACTACAAAGTTTGTGTTGTATCTTCTGCAAAATTAATAATGATGCTGTGAGAAAACTTGCAGGCTGGGGGTGAAATGGATGTTGTGCCCCTTTGAAATCCTTAGGCACCATGAGCTATTGAAATGCAAAGTATTATCAATCCTGCTGAGTTCTCCACCACCACAGCTGTGGCACTGTGCAGCAGGCACAGGAACATGGCTCTCTGACTTTCCAGCTGTTTCCTTGCACTCCAAGGTAACCTGAGAAACCTCAGCTGTCTCGTGCACACTCAGTCTGAAACCCAAGGTCTTCTGCCCTGTCAGCTCTGCCTTTAGGACACCAGAAAATGAGTTTTGTGCATCTGAGTTACTTATGCATCTCCTAAGTATCATTCAGAAATAAAGTCTTACCAATAGTACATGATACTTTTCCTAAGAAAAGAGTTTTAACTTGGGATGTTCTACTTAGTTTTAATACTTCAAGGAGGTAAGATAAAATTGGTTAATAAACAAGACTGCAAGTCTGGCTCACCTGAGTTCCATTTCTTGTCCTACTCAAATTTGGGCAAATATTTTAAGGCGAGAAATGCAGGTTGGCAGATTCCAATGCAGAGCTTTGATGCTTTATGGGGTTTTTGTGGGGTTTTTCATGATGCCACTCCAGTTCATTGCTGTGCATGTGCAGGTTCTACCTTGCTCTTATCTGCAGATTTTGAAGCTGCTACAGGCTGGATCTAAATAAGGAGCTGAGGCAGGGATGTCTGACTGACACACTGCTACACCATGTCCATACTCTCAGGATGGGGCCCTCTCAGGAACAGGAAAGCTCTGTCATCTTCAACTTCCCCTTCCTCAACTGAGACAAGAGATAACTTCTACTTTATAAAGAGAAAAAACCAGTGAACTTGACCACTGCTAAAAATCCCACTAAAGCTCCTAATATAGATGAGCCTGGGATGTAAGATAAAGTCCCATGGCTTTAAAATTATTCAAGAGGAAGGCAGAATCAATGGAGATGGGTTTTTAAACCCCTTGTTCTTCATCAGGAAGCCTTGAACATCAGAGTTGTGTTGGCTGGTGCTGAATGTGGCTGTTGGAGCTTGCTGAGGAGCCCTTGATGCACAGAGGAATTAAATGGCTTAGAGGCTGTTCATGACCTGGAGAACTGCAGATTATGGGCTGGAGAAGAATCAGCTGTGAGAAACTCAGCCTGAGAGTGGTGCAGAAACCACAGGGCTGTGACTCAGCTGGTGCAACTTCAGATGCCTACAGATACTGGGCTCCCTCTCTTCAGGGAGAGAAGTAGGTGCATACAAGGCAGGGCTTCAGCCCTGGTTTAGATATGTGCTTAAAGAGAGAAAAATCATTTCTTAGGTATGTTTCTTATCAAAAAAGGGAGCCTTTGAGTCACCAGGTCACAGCAGAGATCTCCTGACCTACTGCTGAAGGTTTCCTGCCTCATTTCCCATGGAGAGCAGGGGACAGCCAGGCAGCCAGGAATGAGCACATCCTTCCAACACAGGGGCAGGGCTTGCATCTCAGCAAAATCCCCAGATGCAGGCAGGACCCAAGAGACCAGCCTGAACCAAAGGTGGTGGGATGCAGGATGAGGGCTGTCCATATGGTCTGGATGAGCAGTGACCTGATAACAGCATGGTCTGGCAGGCTAAAGAACCTTGTTAAAGCTGTAGGTGTGACACTGGTTCATCCTGCACAACCCAGCTCCATCAGGGAAACCAAGCAGAGGATCTCTCATCCCCCTCCCTGTCAGAGCTGAGGTGTTTGCACAGGGGGCTTGCACAGGTCCAGGGGAGCTCATCCAAACACAGGAGGGTGTCCCTGGTATGATCTTCAGTGGATTGATTTGGTTATTGCTGCCCTAGGAGAAGATGTGAAGGGGTATTTGCTGGGTCTTGCTTTTTCAGCTCAAATGGGAATGGTCAGGATTTCCCCCCTTCTATTCACTCAGGGGTTTTTACTGTTTTTCAGAGACAGAGCAATTATCTGGACACCAAACCTTAGTGACTGCTGGAACTGTGAAGTGGATGATCCCCCTCCCAAACCTCAGGGGAGGCAGCACAGGGAGAAGCTGCTCTGGGCACTGAACAGGAGCAGCTCACTCAGTAAGCATCAGAACTGTTTGTTGTAAATCTGACTCTCACACTCAGCAATGCCCTAAGAAAACCTTCCCCATGCACTCCCTCAGGTCCCAAATTTCACATTTGCAGCTCCCAGGCTGCACTTACCCAGGTTATTTGCATGGATGGGGGGCTGCCTGGTGCCTGGGTGGCAAAGGGCTGACAGGCCTTTCCTGCCAATCTGTCTGTTGTTCAGATGAAGTGGTTGGAAAGTGCTCACTCTCCAGTTCCCTCTTTGGCTCAGGCACTCTGATAAGGCCTGGGCTGTCCTATCTTGCCCTGGGAGCTGTTCCTCCTCCCTAACAGGCTCCTTTCCCTGGCTGACAGTTAGCAGCAGGCAGCGCTTGATAAACTTATCAGACCAAAGCTGAGCTCAGTGCACGCTCAGCTCCTCCCCAGCCCCAGATTTCCCCATTCCTGAGGACTCTCTGCCTGCCTTGCTGGCTGGTGCAGTGAACACAGATCCCCCTTGGGCCCACAGGTCAAAATCAGCCCAAGGACCAGATTGAGGAGTGCTCAGATTGAAGCAGCACATTCAAAGTGAGGGCACTGAGTGGGATGTTCACAGCTCATATCCAGCTCTGCCTCTCTCCCTGCAATATTATTCACAAGTCAAAATGCTCCTGTCTGGTTTATCCTCCCTGTGTTGCTGCTCACCCTGTTCCTCTGCTGGTTTTGAGTTTAGTGGGTTCAATGCAGGGTCTCTGTGCCTGCCTGCAGGATTGCTGAGCCAGCCTTGGAGCAAGGGTGCTCTGCTGGATTCAGTTCCTATCACTGGTTATTGCTGCCACAGTTGGGCGTTCCAGCCCAGATCAAGGCTCCATTGTGTGAGGTGCTGGATGTGGCAGATAAGGAGGAGCAGTCTCATTCCTGACTATCTTACTGTTGAAATAAACAAGTGGAATGAAGGGGAGAGGGAGAATGATTATCCTTCTCTCACAGATGGGGTGAAGATCTTCTGAGAGCTTCACAGTGTGCTGAGCAACTTCAGAAATCCAGCACTCAAGTCTTGCCTAAGGTCATGCAGGAAATGTGTGGCAGATCTTATGTCTCAGTTTAAAGTTGCAGCCTTAAGATGAGTGTGTGTCCATGGTGACTGTTAGTTTTAAGATGGTGGGCCAGGAATTCTGCAGAGATCTGTGTTCTCTTACCTCTCATCCAGCACAGAGATTCACTATCCCTGAATAATTTCTGTGTGGCTGTTCTGGGTTGCTTCCTCTGAGTGGATCTGCTATTCCAGGTGAAAAGGGGCAGGGGGGAAATCTCTGCTTTGTGATCAGATTAAATGTTTAAAAACCGGTTTGTGATGTACTTTATTTTTATTATTCTGTAGCAGCACTGCAGGATGAGCTCCATATCCAGTCCCATCTTAGGCCCTTAACTGCAAGCAGGAATCTTTTCCCTGTGCAAGGAAATGTGTATGCAGCTATTTCTGGGAGATTGCCCCACACCTTCAAGTTTCCTTTTGTGTTCTGTGCTGATGGGCTGGATTTAAACTGCTGCTGTGTCTCCATCACCTGAGACTGGGGAGCAACCTGCTGTGAGGACAGGGGACTCTGCTCTTATTTTTTTTTCACTGAAAATCCTTTCTTGTGATGTCTAAGGTGGGAAGTGGATGCAGCAAATAACTTTAACCAGCAGAACCTGCACCCAACTTGAGTCTAATTCTTCCTGTCCTTCCTCTCAGTTCTGTTTAGGGCTTCCTTAGCAATTGCCAACACAAGAAAGCTTCAGGATCTTGCCTCCTGCAGGATTGCACTCTGTGAGGTTATTACAACCTGAAGATAAGTTCCAGCCTAATGCTGTGCTGGCTGGGAACAGCCCTCTGCTTCCTGCAGGTGTCCCCTGGCTCTGTCCTCATTAGGGAGACAGATTCATCCCGTGTCCAAACTGAAATCCACCCTTAATCACAGCTCTCCGGGGCTGCTGCTCTCAGTGCCTCAAGGCTGTCTGGAAGACACAGAGGCACCTCTCTCCTCCTGACAATGCCCGGGGTTAGTGCTTTGCATGTCCCTCATTTGTTAAACAAAACAGCCCAGAGACCAGGATTTATTTTTCCCTGGCAATAAAGGGAAGAAGTTGTGAAGGGGACTGGGGAAGTACAGGATACAGAGCAGGCTCAAAGAGAGACAAAAACAATCAGCTCTTTCTTCAGCCACAGAGATGAGTTGAGATTTTGCTTTTTGCTATCTGTTTCCTTGACTGACTGACCAGAATGTTTGTGATGCAAGGGGAGGTGGTGAGAAAGGGGCTGGACCAGAGCGTTCAGAACCGAGGAGGATTTGCATGTTTGGAGAGCAAGGCCAGGTGTGTTTGGAGTTGGTGACAGCCATGGCCTGGTCCTGAGGGGTGCTGAGCATCCTTGGGTGCCCGTGGTGCAGATTCAGCAGCTCCAAGGACCAGGGCAGCCCATGGCTGGTGCTGTGCTGGGAGAGAAGAGGGGGCACTGGGGCTCTGCTTTGTTTTTCCTTTGGGCTGCTGGCATCCACAGGCCTCAAGCCATGCCAGGGGTTGGGCATTAGGTGATTTTTAAAGTGGCAACTCATTACTCAGGGGGAAGAAACTGTAGTATCTTAGTGAAAAACATTGCAAGTTAATTCCCTGTCCTCTCCTCCCTTTTGTCACCTCCTGTCTGTGGCTCACTGGTGCCTTTGCCAGTGCCCCCCCTGCACTGCCTGAGCCTGTGGGGATGGGTCAGCCTGGACCCCCTGCCCTGCTCTGGCCACAGCTGTGCTCTCCAGAGCTCTGCAGCACTGCCTGCAGCCACCCCAGTGTGCTCCTCCTCTCACTGCCCATCCAGCCAAAGCCATCCCTGGATCTCCTGGGAGATTGTTAGGATTGCTAAGTGTTAACAACTCCAGTTCTCTCCTGGCACTGCCTCCTCCAGTGTAGCTGCTCTTCAGCAATGTCTGGGCTCAGTAACCCACCCTGGAGTGCTGAGGAAACAGCAGACAGGACTGGGGTGATATGTGCTGTGTTTGGAGGGAGAAGCTGTAGGAGCACACAGGAGAGAAGATCCCAGCTGTCCATTGAAGGTTTTAGCTCGTCTGTACCTTGGAAATCAAGGACAGGAATGAAAATCTAATGGACACAGCAGCTCTTCTTCACGAGGCTCAGAAGAACCAACTGTTGGGTTTGGTTTTGTGAGTGGTCACAGGCACTCTCCCAATTGATGTGTGCCAGCACTTGACTCCAAATGGCCAAAATTGGGAAGCTTTACATGAATCGGTCACCTCTGCTGTTCCCAAGGAAGTCTGTGCTGGTGTGCCTCTGTGGTTTTGCTCCTGAGCAGTCCAGATACTAACACCCTCTTTGAATATTTCTGTTTGCAGATTAGTGGAGGACAAGGGGAATAACAAACACAGTTTGCATTTTGGGCAGTAATTTTAATAAGCTGAAGTGACTTTACCTTGAGCAAGGCTTGTGCATGTGTGGGTGTTCACAGGTGTGTGTGGGGCTGGGGAGCAGTTCCATCACAGGTTATGCACCTTCCCCAGAATGGCTCAGGGAAGGACAGCAGGGATTTTTGGGGGCTTTGGCACTGTCTGTTGGACAGACATTCCATGTACCTGGTGTGCCCTCCTGCTCTGCAGAGCTGGCTCTGCACCAATCTGTCTCCAGGATGAAATCTCTCTAATGGGTGCCCTTTCCTGCATGTGAATTTCCATCTTCATTCCCATTCAAACCATAAAGAGCAATCCTAGACTCCTTTTGCACCCCATCCCCACTGCCTGTGTCCCCAGAGTCAGGTGTGAGCCATTCTTTAAATGAGTGTTTTGAACATGAAATACACTGTGTTAACCCAGTTACTAAGAAGGAACAGATTTATCAGATAAATCCCAGCAGGCCTGTACATGTCACTGTCTGGTATAGTGCAATAAAAATATCCATTAGAATAAGTATAAATACATATTTACAGTGTACAAGTAAAGCCAGGAGTACAGACTCTGGGTTTGAGCTTCCATGTACATATTAATGACTTACAGCTTAGGCACAGCATAAAAGGGACAAGAACATTTTAGGTCTTAATAGAATAAGTTGGGATTTACAGCAGCAGAACTGAGGACAGTTTTCTCCTGGTAATACATGAATTTTCCACTTGGATCATTTTTTCTTTGCCCATGATGGGCACTCCTTCATAGGCCTCTGGAGTGAAATGGCCCCAGCCTGTTCCCAGGGTAATTCCCACTGGTGTCATTGTCCAAGGCTGTATGTTCAGGGATGCAGTTATGGAGTGAGCCACGTGCTGCTACAATGCCCCAATTAACTGAAAACACTTGTCTGTGTTATAATTATGTTATAATAATACTTTGTCCTTCCTGTTAAGAACTCAGGGGACTCCACAAACCTGAGTGAATGGCCCTGCTCCACCAGGAGGGGTGGAAAAACAAAAGCCCAGTGCAGTGCCTTGCCAAAGGTTATAGAGAGAGAATTTGGCAGAGCTTGGAGGGAAACTGGTTCTTTACTTGCTCCAGTGCTTTGCTTCAACCCCTAGACCTGGCAAAAGGAGGAAATACCACTGCTCTCTTTGTATAATACTTGTGAGGTACTTGCATGCTCTGCCAACATGTACAGGCTCAGTCACTTCCTCCTTGAGGAGAGTGCCTGGCAAGCAGAACTCTGACCCTTGACATCGATATCCAGGGTCACTCCTGCCCAGGCAGTGACTCAGGATTGCTCAGGACAGCTCCAAGCTGGCATGTGCAGCATGCAGGGAACTATTGTGGGACATACCAGCCCTGATTCCAAGACTCTCCCATTGTACCAAGACATGGGGATCATTAGCTCCTGCCTGGTGCTGTGGTCTGGCTCTTCCTGGAGCCTGCTTGGGATCTCTGCAGCATGGTGTGTCTGAGGAATGTATTTAGAGACCCCTGTTATCTGCTAGGGATAGGAGCTGTTTCTTCAGTATTTTCCTCCCACTCCAAGCTAAAAATACAGCACAGTTAACTTGTCATTTGATCACAGTAAATGCTCTGCTGAAA